GCCCCTTTTTGCGGCGGCAGGGCCTGATGTTCGGTTACGCCACGGACGAGACGGAGGAGTGCATGCCGCTCACCATCGTGCTGGCGCACAAACTCAATGCCAAGCTGGCCGAGCTGCGCCGCAACGGCAGCCTGCCATGGCTGCGCCCTGACTCCAAGACGCAGGTGGGCTCCGCTGGGGGCACTGCGGGGCCTTTGGGGGCACTGCGGGGCCCTCGGTGGCATCGTGAGTCCGGGGGTGTCGCTGCTGGGCCCCTCATGCCACTCTTGTGTCCCTGGGTGCCTCTGTTGGGCCATTTGGTGTCACTTCTGGGTCCCTCGTGCCGCTCTTGGGTCCATGAGTGGCACTTCTGGACCATTTGGTGTCACTGTTGGTTCCCTGGGTGCCACTGTTGGGTCCCTCGGTGTCGCAGCTGGGCCTCTCATGCCATTCTTGAGTCCCTGGGTGCCACTGTTGGGCCATTTGATGTCACAGCTGGGCCCCTGGGTGCCACTCTTGGGTCCCTGGGTGCCACTTCTGGACCATTTGGTGTCACTTCTGGGTCCTTCGGTGTCACTGTTGGGTCCCTGAGTGCCACTGTTGGGCCGTTTGGTGCCACTTTTGGGTCCCTCAGTGCCACTTCTGGGCTCTTGGTGTCACTTCTGGGTTCCTTGGTGTCACTGTTGGGCCCTTTAATGTCACTGTTGTGTCATTGGATATCACACTTGTGTCCTCACTGTCACTTCTGGGTCTATCAATCCCTGTCCTTAGGTCCCTCTATGTCCCTGTTAACACTTTAGTGCCACTGTTGGGTCCCTTCGTGTCACTTCTGGGTCTGTTGGTCATGTTATTGGGCCCCCCAAAATCACTGTGGGTCTCCCAGTGTCCCTGTTGGTCCCTGGGTGCCACTGTTGGTCCCTCAGTGTCACTTCTGGGTCCCTCAGTCACTGCTGCTGGGTCCCTCAATGTCACAGTTGGGTCCCCCAGTATCATTGTGGGTCTCTCAGTGTCACTGTTGGTCCCTGGGTGCCACTTCTGGATCTCTCAATCGTTGTTGGGTCCTTCAGTGTCGCTTTTGGGTCCCTCAGTGCCACTTTTGGTCACTCAGTGTCATTGTGGGTCCCCCAGTGACACTGTTGGTCTCTGGGTGCCACTGTTGGTCCATCAGTGTCACTTCTGGGTCCCTTGATCACTGTTGTTGGGTCCCTCAGTGTCAAAATTGGGTGCCCCAATATCACTGTGGGTCCCTCAGCGTCACTTTTGGGTCCCTCGATGTCCCTGTTGGTCCCTGGGTGCCACTGTTGGTCCCTCAATGTCACTTCTGGGTCCCTCAATCACTGCTGCTGGGTCCCTCAGTGTCCCTGTTGGTCCCTCAGTGCCACAGTTGGGTCCCTCGATGTCCCTGTTGGTCCCTCGGTGCCACTGTTGGTCCCCTTGGTGTCACTTCTGGGTCCCTCAATCACTGTTGTTGGGTCCCTTAGTGTCCCTGTCAGTCCCTCAGTGTCACAGTTGAGTCCCTCAATGTCCCTGTTGGTCCCTGGGTGCCACTGTTGGTCCCCTTGGTGTCACTTGTGGGTGTCTCAGTGCCACTTTTGGTCCCTCAATGTCCCTGTTGGTCCCTGGGTGTCACTTCTGGGTCCCTCAGTCACTGTTGTTGGGTCCCCCAATGTCCCTGTTGGTCCCTCAGTGTCCCTGTTGGGTCCCTCTCGGTCCCTGCTTGTCCCCCAGCCGTTCCCCCTGGTTCCCATCCCCTCTCTGACCTCTGTCCCCCCCCCAGGTCACAGTGCAGTACATGCAGGACCGCGGCGCCGTCATCCCCATCCGTGTGCACACCATCGTCATCTCGGTGCAGCACGACGAGGAGGTTTGCCTGGACGAGATGCGGGACGCCCTGAAGGAGAAAGTGATCAAAGCCGTGGTTCCCTGCAAGTACCTGGACGAGGACACCATCTACCACCTGCAGCCCAGCGGCCGCTTCGTCATCGGCGGCCCCCAGGTACGGCGCCGTCCCCTTCGTCCCCGGGGCTCCCGGTGCCGCAGCCGCGCTGACGCCGCCGTCCTGCGCAGGGCGACGCCGGGCTGACGGGGCGGAAGATCATCGTGGATACGTACGGGGGCTGGGGGGCGCACGGCGGAGGGGCTTTTTCCGGCAAGGATTACACCAAGGTGGATCGATCGGCCGCCTACGCCGCGCGCTGGGTCGCCAAGTCGCTCATCAAAGCCGGGCTCTGCCGCCGCGTCTTGGTGCAGGTGGGTTCCGGCCCTCGGCCCCTCCTGCCCCCTTCTGTCTGCCCCCTTCTGTCTGCCCCCTTCCTCCTCCCCCCTTTCCTCCTCTTTCCTCCCCCCTTCCTTCCTCCCCCCTTCCTTCCTCCCCCCTTCCTCCCCCCTTCCTCCCCCTTTCTTCCCCCTTCCCCCCCCCTTTCCTCCCCCTTTCCTGCCCCTTTCCTGCCCCCTTCCTCCCCCTTTCCTCCCCGCCCCCTGCCTTCAGCTGCCCCCCCTGCTCGCAGGTTTCCTACGCCATCGGTGTCTCCCACCCGCTCTCCATCTCCATCTTCCATTACGGCACCTCGCAGAAGAGCGAGAGGGAGCTGCTGGACATCGTCAAGAAGAACTTCGACCTGCGGCCCGGGGTCATCGTCAGGTAGGGGGGGGGGGGGGGGGGGCAGGGGGCAGCCGTGCCCTGCAGGGGGCGCTGCCTGCTGGTGGCTGCCTGCCGCCCTTGGGATGTGCAGCAATGGAGGCAGGACGGCGGCGGGGCTGAGAGCTGCACTGCTGGGGGGGGGGCGGGGGGGGGGGGGTTGGGGGGAGGTGTGGGATAGGAGGTGTGGGGTGTGGGATTTGTGGGGTGTGGGATATGGGACAGATGGGATGTGGGGTGGGGGATATGGGAGTCAGGATATGGGATGTAAGTTATTAGAGTATGGAACGTAGGATATAGGATGTGGGACATGAGATATGGGATGTGGGATATGGTGGATATGGGGTGTGGGGTGGGGGCTATGAGTTATTGGGATATTGGACATGGGATGTGGGGTGTGGGATATGAGTTATTGGGATGAGAAACATGGGGTGTAGGATATGGGATATGGGGTGTGGGATATTGGCATGGGGTGTAGGATATGGGGTGTGGGATATTGGGAGGTGTGGGATATGGTGGATATGGGATAGGAGATATTGGGACGTGGGATATAGGATGTGGGACGTTGGATATTGGGGTATGAGATATGGGATGTGTGGTGTGGGACATTGGATGTGGGATGTGAGTTATCGGGACGTGGAACATAGGATTTAGGATATGGGATGTGGGGTATTGGGATGTGGGATATGAGTTATTGGGACATGGGATGTGGGAGATACGAGATATGGGATTTGGGATGTTAGATGTGGGATATGGGAGACATGGGATATGAGATGAGGGACATGGGGTGTGGGGTATAGGATGTGGGGATATGGGACATGGGATGTGGGATATGGGATGTTGGGCTGTGGGATGTGGGGTATGGGAGATGTGGGAGGTGGGGCACGGGGTGTGGGATATGGGATATGGGGTATGAGACAGAGGACACGGGACATGGGATATGGGGCATAAGGTGTGGGATGTAGGGGTATGGGATGTAAGGTGTGGGATGTGGGGGTGTGG